AATTAAATAAAAATAATAATTATTAAAATGTTAATGTTTTAAACGAAATAATATTTCTAAAGTATAGAACGTAGTCTGGGTAATGGTTTCCAAATAGAAAAACCATCTCAATTGAATAACCAAAATAAAATAAAACAATTAAAAAATGAAAATTGAAAATTGATGAATTTGTTATTTTTATTTTTATTAAAACTAGACGACAAGGGTTATTAACTGCCTACAGTATCTTAATCACTAATCAAAATAATTTTAATTAAATGCATTATGTTATATTTATAATTCAATTATATCTTATCAATTAAATTTGTTACCTAATTTTAATAATTTAAGGATTTGCTTGTTTTGTTCCGGATTTGTTCCAAGAGGAGCGATAACTGTTTCTGTTATGTAAAGCTTTATTCCCTTCCAATAAGTTAGGTTAACATTCCGTTAATACCTATATGTTTTACTATGAATTTTGTACCACATGCTTCGAATATGGGAGTTTCTTTCACATAATAAATCAATGAATTAACCTTGTGTGTCCTATTTTTAGTCGATTTATAATAGTTTTATATTTTAGTAGGAAATTTTAGCTTTTCATCTGAAAGATGTTCACTTTATCTTATTCAGTTTTGTGTTCTAATTATTCTAGAAATTTAGTGACTTTTATAAACAACTTAATTCTACTAAAATATTTTATCTTAAAATATTAAAGAAATGCAAATAATTTTTTGAGTGGGTTAATATGTTATTTTGCTCTACTGACATTTTTTATTTTGATCCAACTATATGATTATTACTGTACAATATTCCTCGAACAAAGTGTGTTCTTCCTTTAAATGAAATTAATTTTATAATAGTAAAGTATGTCTTGCAGATATATTATGCAAAATAAATGGCAAAAACATAATGATTTTTTTTTTTTATTTAACAAGAACTTACATTTTTTCTTGTATAGAGTTCAGAATATTGATTTTAGCTTATTGCGTTAGTGTAATAAATAATCCTTCAAAAGTCTTTCACCATTCAAACATTGGGATTTAGTGTTTTGCATAAATTTGTTTCGGCAGCAGAAAATAACATAGATCACTTTGATTGGAATGACCCTAATAACTACCCACTTTTTATTGAAATAAAGAAAAGAAATAAAAGCTAATTTAATATTTTTAAAAATAATTTTAGCGTTCTAGTTTATCCATCTATACTCATATATTGTGATAAGTACTTATACACAACTACCATTATACGTTACAGTGGATGTTGATATATCAGAAATGGAACCTATAATTTGGATTTATTTTAATTTAAAAATTATAGACTTAATGTTAAAAGATGCTTAATTAATAATTTATTATAATTTACCCTAGAAATATTATTCAATAAAGAATGAATATCATATAAAATTAATAACTTATTACTTTTAAAGCTACCATTATAAAATATTATTAATAAAAAATAATCAAAAAATGCAGCGTTAAAAAATAAGTAAATGATAAATAATATACGAGTACATTATATATAAACGATGCAATAAAGTAAATATATATATTATATATATTTTTTATATTAAATAATTAGTTTCATAAAAAAAAAAAAATTAAAGCGAATTATGAAAGTCGAATTTGTTTATTTAACCTAGTCAGCTATATTATTTTTCAAAGTAAATCAAAGTTGAACAATTGAAAAGTGCATAAAAAATTAATCACTTAGATATTTATTTATGGTTATAATAGTGTATATAAACGAAGAATAAAACAAAAATTAGGATTTTCATATATCATCAAATAAAATTAATAATTAAATTCTATATTTTAAGTTCTTTTAATCAACTGTTAAAATAAATACAATTAATCATGTTTAAAAATGAGGTTTTTTAACATTAGCTTATCAGTTATGATTTTCTCAAATAAGTCCCATCTACGTTTAGTAATTACAAAGTATGCAAATAAAATCAATTAATATAATAATTAATAATGAAATATATTAGAATACTCTTTCAAATGAAAAATAATCTTCATTTTTTTTTTATTCATGCCATGCAAGAAAATTATTTAGTTAGCTAAATAATTTTATAAGAATTTGTAATATTTTTGAACAAAACTTCATTTTAATTTTTATTACAATTTCATTAAATGTGTATTTATTTTAAAGAAAATGTATCAAATAATGTTTTTTTTTTTTTATATATATACATTTTTCCAACTTGCAATAAAATTAATAAACTATTTTCGTACACATTCATACATAAATATAAACTATTCCAAGAACTATATTATATAAAATAAAAGTAATTATTTATCTGTACATTCTTAAATAATTTAAATATTTATAGAAACTATTTGTTGATATTTCTTTCTCTTTAAATGTATTTAGTAAACATATTTTATTACTTGAAATTGTAAATAGCTAAACGATCAACTAAAAACAATATATAATTTAAATAAATAATAATATTATGTTAAACATCATGTTAAATTATTTTAAAATTACTGTGTTTATAAAAGCTATTTTAAACATTTGTGATTTTAAAATATCAAACAAAAACATAAATTTTGAAAAAAAATTTACTTTGTTACAATTAACATGATGTATTCTTAGCGATTGCACTTAAAATTGTTACCCTTTAATGCTTAAAAATAAATTTACACTTTCAATAAACTTATTACGTAATAGTGTATACATAAATTGCGCACTAAATATGAGACATGATAAAAATTGTTTTTTTTTTTTTTTAAGCATCACATTATTATGGTATTTTAACGTTATTTATTGAGCATACATATATTACAATTTATTATATTGCAAATTATTAGTAAACAGTTTGTGACTACCTAACAAATTACATTAAGCCTATACTTGTCTTTATTATTAAAAAAAAAAAATAAAATAATGTATAATTGTATACGGTATAATACATTAAACCCTAAGGAGATTTAAATTGTTTGAGATCTTTCGCATACATAATACATTACACAAAATACAAGGAGAGTGAATCGCGACCACAAACGAAGGCGAAAACATCTATAGATGAAAATGAAGCATGAGTGCACGATGTAAGATGGTACTCAAGACACCTGGATTTCTTCCTTTATAACTAGCGATTATGATATTAACAAAACACGTTCGGAATACTTTACAGATATAAGTCAGGTGATTTATGTGAAAAATTAATGAACATTGATCGATAAACCATTATTTACAATGTCTAGCATTATATTGTTATACCTGAAATTACCCTAAAACATCTGCACATACTTATATAGAGGTGTGATAAATTTGTTCTAATATCTATATTGACAAATTACTTTTAGTTTAAAATCTATTTGTATTGCCTACTTTTAACTTATAAATTAACAGTTTCAATGTTGACTTAGTTTTATTAATTAAAGTTGTTTGTTTTTCATTAACATATCTGTAAATAATCTAAATAACCCTTATCTATCATACGCTTTCTGCTTAAATTATGTGTGATCGGTTTACTTGAATTATTATTTCATGATTCGAATATTTTTTACCTTCAGGCACATAACTATTATAGTCGAAAAAAATGACCTTTCGAAGATTTTTTTATTCGTATAGACCGTATTTAAATATTTCACTCTTCAAATATGTTATGTTCAAAATCTTTATCCCATAACTAGGATAATGACATCATTCGTCATTCATCTGATGTTTTTACTTCTGAATGTAGGTGTACTCACATACTATGCGTATACTGCACATTTAACATTATACAGAGTGATTAACCGAGCAGACCTTTTTTATTCTTCTTCAATAATTTAATTGTTCAAAATCTAATTTTTAAAAATTTGTTAATAATTATGATTAAAGATCATTTATTTATATTCTTAAGATTTTTTTGTATTTCCTAAGAAGTGTGCTGTAAAGATCTAAACTTAAATTTTTTAAATTACGATTTTGCTACTGTTTATAATTTAGCTGATAATTTTTTCATATTAAAATCGATATTTACACGAGTAATTTTGAGTTAATAGCTTTATGTACCTACTTAGGATAATCGGTCTATAATAATACATTTTTTAAAATATAAGAGGTCTGGTAATAGTTTTAATATTTTATATAAATATTTATAATTTATAAATATGGTCCAAGTATATTAAATAATCTATTTAATATTATTATTTTTTCATCTATTATCTCTAATATAAACATTTTAATAGTTTAAAAACTACTCGCTCGAATTTCGAATAAGGTATTTCGTTAATTTCAGAATAATAAACTTTTAAAAATCGACGGTAAACAAAAGACAGATTTTCATTTGTAAAACCGAAATCTGTATCATCACAGATCACTGTTTATATAGTATATGAAATCTCAAGAATTTATAAATTATATTGGCTTTTTTCCATATTAAGCTTAAAAATTCTACAAAATCAGAATTTGAATAAATTTATTATCGAAATGAAATTACAGGACGAACGCGGTTGATGAATAACACTGTATAGTTCATTACACGTACACACTACACTACACACACACACACGTGTACACACAAACATATTTAATATGCGACCGTGGCTACACGACGTCCGGTCGCCATCGCCATCGAGCCCCGTTTAGAGTGCCCAGCGTGAGCCATGCGGGGGCGTACGCACTACGCTAACTTTACCCGGCCCCCGCGGTCCCGTATTACATATGTCTCCGCATCGTTCAGGAGTTAACCAGCAACCACTGACAGGTAATTCGTTTTTGCCAACGACAATTATCGTGTGTGCGGGTCGTGTTGTTAGGTCGTCGAATCAACAACGGGCATACACCTTATATATATATATAAATATATTACGTGTACGTGGTACACGCGATACCTCCACCGAAATAATGAAATTACTCTGCGTCCATGGCGGTAGGTATATGCGTCGCACAGCCTGCACGCGCACCGCGCATCGTGCGTTAATGAAAAACAAATTGTTAATGGGAACGGGCCCATTTGGTGGCGGGTGAGACGAAAAAAAAAAAGGCAAATAAATAAACAATAGAAAATCAACTAAAACACTCACCTCTGCGGTGTCCTGGGTTGGAGCTCTCTTGTATTGTTTCAAGCTCAGTCTGCGCCACGTTCTGGAAGGCTGTTTTCCGCTACAATGGACGCCCCCTCCACAGACTCCTACTCCTGTTCCGGCCGTATCCATCCTAGTCGTTGTGGATGTCGTCTTTTTGATCCTGAGGGACTAACCCGGCCTCCAACCGTGTGCGAATGTTTATGTCAACATCTTGATACCGCACGGAAAAAAAAAACAAGAAAAAAACATTACATTAGCGTATAAATGAAAGCGCACACTAAGATTTCAAAGCTGAGATATTTTATGTGTTTCGCGTATGAAATAAATAATATTTAGCTGTGGCCGTGAGCTATGGAGATATAATACTCGCTGGAGAAGTATTTATAGTAAATATATAAATATATATTCGTTATTGTATAAGTATTACTGGAAATAGTAAACGAATAACACTATTAGCGGTATTTTGACAGAGGTCAATCATTCCACTGTGTTGTCACTGCTTTTTAAATACTCTTTTCAGTCGACGTTTTTGGTTTTTTTTTGCCAAATAACGTTTTTAACTTCCGTTCAGGAACCGGATAGAACATTCACACAATATATAGATCATCTGTGTTAATTCGGATGAAATTGTCGGTGTCCCTTATAACTTAAAGATCACAATACACTGAAATTTGTTTATTACATATTACTTATAATGACGTACTACTGGACGACGGACGTGTACAGAATGAATGCACTTTGAATTAGATTAAATAGCATATCAATTTTTTTACCTGTTCCTAATATCCCATCTAGTATATTATTTGAAAAGTTGACTCTGATTTGAAATTGCAAACAAAATTAAATAAGAAAAAATTTAAAAAAATTTGGCAGTATAAAAAAATCTATTGGATATTTATGTACTACGATGATGCTTTCGAAAAAGAACAAAAACTTACCGGCAGCCGGAAATTAAATATTTTAACATGACTTTTGTGTATTCATTACACCCAATAAACGTTACTTACTAAGCTAAATATTTAAACGATATAGCGGGGATTAATAATCTAGTAAGACATATTGTATTATTAAACAACTTAACCTTCCAAATATATTATACTGTTATACTTCGTGCGCAAAATCGTCATTACTCATAAACTAAAAACCAAATTGTTTAATTTATTAAATACATTTTACCTGAAACTAAATAACAATTAAAACATGATACTGCAGTATTAAATATTAAAAAAAAAACGTAAAATTATTTTAATTAACGAAAATTGCGTTAAGCAATGATCATTAACCACGAAATTCTGCTAAAACCACAAAAAATTACGTTGCTGTATAAACTCTTGTCGGGACCCAAATTAAATAATTATTAACATAAATCTTATTATTTTTTTTCGTTGTAAATATAATGGTTATATACAACTGTTGCTTGGGAATTTCAAATTAAAAGATGTACTTAATTCAAGTTAACATAATAACAGTCATGTATTATATTTTCTAATCAAGCCGCACTTTATTACTTGTAGTAGCCATTTAGAATTTTATATTCTACAAATTACTATAAATTATAATAGATAATAACAATTAGGGTAAAAAAGACGTTATTAACATGAAAATATGAAATATCACACACAATATCTAAAACATATATGAATTTATTTTATCGAAACAAAAATGTGGGTTTAACTTTGTATTTAATTTACTTATATATTAATATATTTTTATATTATGTAAAGATCGTTCTTACAAGCTTATATTATACTTAACTGAATCATAATTTATTGTTGTAAAATAAATGTTGAAGTAATACTAAATGTACAAATTAAATGTAGGTATAGATTGTTTTATATTTTAATAATTGAAAAAAACAAAGCAATTAAAATAAACATTGAAAATATTAAGTTTAAATTTGACATAATTATTAAAATATTTCATTTATAAATAAAAAAAAAAAAAAAAAAAAAATGGAAGTACGTTAAATATATTAAAATAACTGTATGCGTGGAAAAAGTTTCAAACTACATTTTTAGAGTAACTTTATTGTTTTGTTGAAATAATCCATCGTGTAATATTATAATTTTTTATATTAAACACTAACATGTTAAATAAATATATATATATATATATATATATGTATATTATGGATACATAGCATATATTTACATTACAGTTCAATATGGTAAAAATCCTGCTTCACTTTTAAGTTTTAAGTTTTTCAGTGTATTAACTAAATATAAGGTATTATTTAATTTATTACATCAAAATATTCTAAAAAATAAGTTGATAATTTTCAAACATATTTTCACAAATTGATTATGTAACTTGAATATCAAATAATATACCGCGTATTCAACTACATTGCATTTACATAAAATGTTTTCGATGTTTAAATTTTTCTCGATAATGGGAATTTATTATTGACATACAAGTATTTTTGCATTTATTGACTATACATTTTTATGTATTATTATTGCACGGGGGAAAATATATTTTTTGCATAAAGTAAATAAATGTTATTCATTTTATATTACGTATTTTTAACCAACCCATAAATAAATGGTTGAAATTAACTAAACCTAACCAAACCTAACTTAACTTATTTAGAGTTTCTGATTTATAATTCAATTATTATTTTTAAACAAAACAAAAACTTCAGATAAACTTTTAGTTGAGTCGCAAAAATAATGTTGTACTCACTCATGTTGTATATTGAATAATAACAATGATAATAATATATTTTAATTCTATTTGACATAGATTTTCAAATAATAATACAATATAACCTTTTTATTAGTATTGAGCATTTTAATGAAACTATAAATTTATAAAACCAAAAGGTCTAATTGTTATTTCACTACATTTAGTTCGAAAAGTTTTTTTTTTTTTTAATCCCTAGTATCGTGTATAATATTATTAATAATACGATGTCGGATAATTCGCATATTGTAGAGTGGCTGAATAACAAGTCCAATAGCAATTATTATTAATTAAATAAATAAATAAATTGTAGAGTGCTGTTTTCGTTACAGAATTAAACTAACATCAGTAATTATAGTTTCAAACGTTATTGATTTTCCATCAATAGTTTATTTACGATGAAAAGAGATTAATGATGATCATAAAAAAAAAATCGTCACGTCAAAATGTTCTAATTGATTAGGTATTAATAAACAATACTATAGTTAATACAATATGTATATATTCGAGTTTACATACCTATATATATATATTATTAGAGGACAAAATTAAATAGATATGTTTCGTGATAGCTTGATTAGAGAAAACGATGAGTAATGTATATTGCTATTTGACGTCAATGAAATATTGTAACTAAATGCAGTGGACGGAAATTATTTGAACGCATTGGTTCTGGGGTTGGAGTAGTATGTTCCAGCTATTATTGAAATCTAATTTTCGTACTTCTGATAATCTTAACAGTTTTGTTTAATTTACTTATTAATATAATAAAATTACATACCTATAGACTTGATGAAAATTCTGAAAAAACGAGGTTTTTTCTTTTTATTAATATTCAAAATTAATTAAAAATCGTATTAAGTATACTTGATATACGTAAAAAAAAAAAAAACCAGAGGGTTTAAGAACATATTATAAATAAATGCCGTAAATATTAGGTATTAAAACACAAAAAGTATACAACATTCGAATTCAGTTAAGATACTGGATTATGCGTGAAAGATACTGTGTCCGAGGAGACGGGATTAAGAATAAAACTACTAGATCAACGTGGACGGTGTTATTAAATAGAATAAAATAAAGAACATATACGCAATGTGAAAGACAGACATTTACGAAGCAAAGAAAATCAAGGAACAAAATAAAAACAGTTTTGTTCGAGAAAAATAATTAGAGGCTATTTGTAGACTTAGAACGAGAATTGAGGGATAGAACACCGAGTAAAGAAAAATATACATTAACCATGAACATGTAATAAAATGGAAAACGAGTTGAATGAAAAAAAATATCAGTGGGCGACTGGGGTTTGAAATTGTACGACGAACGAATCGTTGTGGTGTATCTACAGTGGGTATATCCGTGCAATACGGGTTTTTAAATCTTTCTAAATGTCATTGCTAACTTCGCGTGACCGCACTAACTCGACCTTCTTCCGATCAAGGTACTGCCCGGTCCCTAAACAACCATATCGAGACGCTACCAATTTCCGCCGAACTGTATATATTATAACCTACACCGTCTCGTGTGTATCACACCTATTCCCTTTTCGGACAAATGAAAAGTGTACGTTTTTCTTAAACATCCGCAGTAAATAAATAACACAAATATTATATAGGTACCTATACTGTAACGAAAAAAACACTCTATATGACTCGAGGCAATAGGAAAATATTACGTAATAATATTCAGTTAACATATATATCATGCTTTGATGCTAAAACAAAATCATTATAACGCGTACAACACTTTCGCTCAATATTTATGTGCTATTATTTTGAATTTGAGTGGCAGGGAGTTAATCGATAGCGGAAAAAAGACGATTAAATCCTTGATGAGAAATAGCGGTATGATGTTTATTTTGAAACAACGGTAATAAAAATAAATGAAGTCTTCAAAAATTATGAAAACTATTAAGTCTTAAAAAAATTACAAAATTATTAACGCCATTCTATATGCACGAATTTAACATAGAATAATGCATGAAACTACGCTGCTAATGGCGAAACTGCTGACAAGATTTAATTAAGTACCAACGGCACTTAAAAAAAAAAAAAGTAATGTTTAAAAAAGTAGCCTTACTATTAATTAAAAGTACATCAGTCGAGATTAAAAGAAAAAAAATCCTCCGAAGAAACTCGGAACTAGGAGAATATCCATCGACTGATTGACTAATTTAATTCTATTAATGTGGAACCGATTAGCAGTTTCCAATTAGACTACACAAATCATCACAATACGTAGGTACTTATCAATATCAATTTAACCCGACCATCAGTATTTTGATATATTAGTGGTTTATATTATATTACTGTTACGTAGGTAACCAAAATCATCTTTGGCTGACATTTGTGTTTAAATATACCCTGGTTAATGCGTTAAACTATTATACGCTTATAAGTCACGACCTGAAAATCGTTAATTTAACAACGACAACATCGACTGCGAATACGGCAAAGCGTTTTTAGTTTAATTATGACATAATGTTATTGTATTTTAGCGATAAAAAGTTTATTACGGCGAATACG